CAAATAAGTCAAAAATAACAACTTACCTATAATGTCAAATTCACAAACGGGAGTACATAGATGGGGTTTGACACACCCCAGAGCCTTTTGGGCGCGTGTAGCTTCACTCACTGTCTTCGAAGTACTGCGGCAACGCCTGAATTTGATAGTGCCCACATATTTGAGAAGCTATTGGGCCGGGCGTGCGCATAAGTTACCATTTTTTTTATTTTTGAGAGCGATATTTGGCGGTTGGGGTTTGTCAAACCCCACATATGTGACGCAGGGTTAAAAAAATTACCAATGTGGTCATAAATTTTTTTCTTGCATAGAATCGACAACTTCGTGACAGCTTGACAGACAAACGCCCCACTACCATAATGCGCTAAGCTCAAAATTTGTCCGACTCCACCCAAATAACAAATACAAAAAGATTCGACGGTGTGGTCATAAATAAAAAATTTAGATCTGGGCCCAAGGACTAATACTGTAATCAACTGACCAAAAACTGGCTTTAGTAAATTCAGAGAATTTTTTCGGCGCTGGCTCTCCGGCTATACTCTGTGGGCTTTTCCAAAGAAAATGGCACCTATTAAACGCAAACACAAATAGTACGGGAGCTGGCGACACTTTTCATTGTCCCATTTCATAAAACTTGATTTATCTTTTATTTTGTAGTATTGATATCAATGATCAAGAAAATGAACTCCTGCCACCTTGTTAGCGGGACAACGGTTGACTGCGGTATGCCAAACATGTTGAAAAAAAAAGTCCAAATGTTTAAAATCATAAAAGTTGAAACTTTACCAATTTTCTAATAACATTTAAATAAGACATAAAACGACCTCCTGCCACTTTTTCGGTAGACCTATATACTCCTGCCATAATTTTATTTACGTAAAAAAAAGTTATTAATTAATATAAATTATAAAAGTTGAAATTTTTTCTAGCATTTCATTAATAATTACGATAACTGAAAAATGTATCCTGCCAGTCATTTGATGGGACCTGGCTTCGGCAGGAGTTAGTGAAGTAATAGGGTGTTGACATAATAGACTATTTTTACCTGAATGCGCGCGCAACACGAGGCAATGCATTTTTATTGGCTAACTAGTACAGGTGAGAGGTGTTCGTTTTGCACGCTGGGCATCTCCTTGTCCTTGTTCATTGCCCGTGGTCTGACAAGGATCAGAATTATGGTTGATAAATAACTTGACGTACCTTGACAAGTGATCGATTTTCAATTGTTTGTGTTTTTGATTGACAACTACGTTGCATGTCACGCGTTTTTCCTCCTTCCCTTTTTATTCCGTGCAAATAATAAAAAGGGATTGCTATACATAAGTTTAACATGGTTTGGTACGTTTTGCCTCGTCTTGCGCAATAGGCGTTCTGCGTCTTTTTCTATCTAATAAAGTTTTCGTATTATTACCTCTTTGTCTGGTAAAATAGATAGGTCTATTACAGAAACAAATTTGTTTCAACACGTTAGATTCTTTTTTATTTATTTAAGCTCAAAAAATATGTAATATCGAAAAGTTTACAGACACGTATCTTCGTCAATATATTCGTAGACAGTTTCCACAAAAGTGGATAAATCTTTGGTCAGTTCATTGATCACAGCACTGAGCGAACTGAACTAGAACTGAACATCAGCACATCAGTCATTCATATGGAATCTTAAAATGCCCAAGCATCTGCCTCACATCAGGTTTTTATTGTGTATAAAAGACGTCCAGGTAAGACCCTTTTCCAGGGTGCTCATTTGCTCTATGTATGTGATCACTTAATATCTACCGCATTGAGAACCTTTGGATTTAGAATTTGGAAGCCTAGAAATAGTGGATATACAGTGTGTCCAAGATAAGGATGAGGTAGCATTAGGATCTGGGGAACGGTTGGAGTAACAATGTTGGTTAGATTAGGAAAAGGTTACGCAATTTAACCTATGAATTTAACGCTCAATAAAATGCTACTTTGACATTTGAAAAATTCCGAACATTTTCCGAGATATCCGGAAAAACCCAAAACTTCACAAAATCGATTTTATGTTTTCCTGGGCTTATTTGAGGAGATATTTCAAAATAAATGTCACTTAATCGTGAACACTTTTTCTACTCTACAAGACATTATCAATTTTAAAATTTGACGTTTCGTCTTCAGGCCACTCTACTACTCTCGGGATTTTAAGTCACTCTGCCCAACTAAAAATCAGACACCTCAGTGATTTAAAATAGTTTTGACTCACTCTCGGTATTTTTCCTTGAACTTTATTTTTCAAATTTCCACAAAATGGGATAAAATTTTGTATACATCACGTGAGTTAAAATCTTTATTCATTCAAAGAAAATTTCTTCTCGTGAATAAACATTTATTCAACTCACTTGGTGTATAAATAACTATTAAATACGGACCCTTATTTTTTATTTCAGATTTTATATAAGCTAAGCTTCTGATGTCCCAAAACCAATGACGTCCCAAGCAGCACTCCCATGTTGGGCCAATATTGGGACAATAACTACGATTTATTGGCCCAAGTCAGATTCTCTATGTTGGCCCAATAAAAGATGTGGACATTCTGCAATATTTGTCCAAGAACGTATGTCAATATATACGCAAAAACAAATACCAACGTTGGTACAATAACGTAACCAAATGTTGGCCCAAAAAGAAATAATCAATATTATATCAAGAACTTTATGCAATATAGAGCCAATTGAAATTACCAAGATTGGCCCGAAGACGTATGTAAATCTATTATATTTAATTAAGGTAACGGACCAATTATAAGGACCGACTAAGAAGTGTTTTCTCTCTGCCGGACCATCCGTGGACCCGTTTCGCTGTATCACAACTCATCAGCACGGTTAAGTCCCGCCAGGGTCCCGCAGAGAGAAAACAACCAATTTTTGGCTTCATCCCGGAACCAGTTTTAAGACAGGTAAAGTAAAGACAGAGTGTCCATCTATTTTTTGGTTGGCACACCAAGTGCGCACATTGAATACCCTATATTGGACCAACATTTTCAATTCAGAAAATCTAACCTTGGTAAAAATTAGTATGTAAATATTGGCCCTTCATTGGGCTTTTCAAAAAGTATCAATATTGTGAAAAAATTGAAAATAAATATTGGGTGTACAAAGTTTTTGAAGTGAATTTAAATATCAATAAAAAATTGAATGCCAATATTGAATTAATATTATATTACAATATTGTTTCGATAATATAAAATGTAATATTTGGCCAATATTTCATAAATCAATATTGTAGTGAGAAGTCTTGGGCCAATATTCAAATTATTGAAAAGTTAATTAATCTATGGAAACAATATTGGTACAAGATTATTTTTAAATATTGTTTCCACATAGTTAAAACTAACGTTGCCCGAATATTGGTACTGTGTTGATTTAGCAACAAAAATGAATAAATATTGGCCCAACTGAAAAACGATGTTTACCCCATATTATGTGCTACTTGGGGTATTGCACTTATTCGATTTTTTGATTTTTTTGCGAATAAATGCGATACGTCATAGGTTTTGGGATATCAGAAGCTCTTAAAATCTGAAATAAAAAATCAAGGGCCGTATTTAAAAAAAAATGAAGTTGATGATGGTGACCCAAAGACGAAATGTCAGAATTTAAATTTGAAAATGTCATCTTGTAAAGTAGACAAAGTTGTTACCGCACGATGAAGTGAAATTTATTTTGAAATGTCTCCTCAAATAAGCTCAGGAAAAAATAAAATCGATTTTGCAAAATTTCGGTTTTTTCCGGATATCTTTGAAAGTGTTCGGAATTTTTCAAATGTCAAAATACCATTTTATTGAGCATCAAATTGCGCAACTTTTTTCTAATCTAACCAACATTGTAACTCCAACCGTTCCCTAGATCCTAATGCTATGCCATCCTTATTTTGGACACGCTGTATAATGTGTTTCCGCTCAACAATTTTTTTCCTGCCGAAGCCAGGTCCCATCAAATGACTGGCAGGATATATTTTTTAGTAATCCTTATTATTAGTGAAATGCTGAAAAAAAAAATTAACTTTTATAATTTATATCAATTGATAATTTTTTTTTACATAAATAATATTATGGCAGGAGTGTATAGGTCTACCAAAAAAGTGGCAGGAGGTCGTTTTATATTTTATTTAAATGTTATTAAAAAATTGATAAAGTTTCAACTTTTATTATTTTCAACAATTAAACTTTTTTTTTTGACGTAATTAACATATCGCGGTCAATCAGTGTCCCGCTGGTACCCCTGCAGGAATCGATTTTAGTTTTCTATGGCTCCGAGATGATCTAAAAAAAGTAAAACTAATCGTTATGAAATCATACAAAATTTAGTGTCGCCAGCTCCCGTACTAAAAACTTAAGTCTCAACGAAAAGTCAGCGATTATAGACGAGCTGAAACGCGGAGTTAGTGGCAAATATTTAGCTGTTAAGTATGGAGTAGAGGCTTCAACCATCAGCGACATTAAGAAAAAGGGGACTGTAAAATGCCTTGGTAATCCGAATAATTTGATAATCCGGATTGGTCTGGTTTTAATTGATCCGGATTATCGCGACACTACTGTATTTAATGAATTATTTCAATTGAAGTCCAAATTCTTTTTTAAATACAGTCCATTTGCTCAAATTTCTGTTAAAGTATTAAAATAAACACTCTTTATTCATAAAGTATTGCTTTTGCAAAATATGATCCAATGATTCAGGTAGAAATTGATAAGACGAGATGAAGGAAATCTGATAAGGAGTGGACAGTACTCACCAATAGTAATGTTTTTATACTTTAATCACCTTTAATTTTGAATATTTGACTAGTTCTGTCTCCTAGTTTAAGTGTTTTTGTCAAACAACTATTTACTTATTTACGCAGTTGAACGTTTGTTATTATTGTTGAAATGTAAATTGTATTTTAAATTAGCCAAGTGCTAAATAAATATATTATTTAATAATTAATTTATTTATTTATTTTATTTATTTATTATTTATTATTATTTATTTATTTATTTAGTAAAACATTTAAAAAAAAATAAGTTGAATTAATATGTCACAATAGGAACTGTTGATTATTGATTGCTTGATTCTTCAACTTTAAATTCTGTTATTCTACATCCTCCAGTTACCTTTTCTATAAGATTTTTATTGTACTGCAATAGAGCCATAGTAAAGAACCCTCCAAAGAAAACCCCTAATTAAAGGTTTAAGTTTACTTTTGAAACACTTTAATATCAATATCTATATCACAAATTAGCCAAAAGTAAAACATTCTTATTTTTTGTGTCTCTATTTGTCTACAAATTCTTGGTCTTCCTCCAGAACATAATCGTCCTCTTCAGGTTCCCTATTCAGCAATGCCAACTCTTTTCTTTCTCTAAACTCTTCTTCCAAATACTCCATATCGGCTGTCCAATTTTTGTAGTCCTTGCATTGCTTCATTCTCAATATCTACAACGACTGTTTAAACTTCTTTTTGTAAAAACAATTGAAACAATCTTACCTGTCTTTGTTGCAAAAAATTCTTAAAGGCGTTCCTCTGTTCCTGATGATTGGCAAAAGTCACTGGATCTTCATTGACGGATTGTGTCGTTTTAAATTCGCTCCATTGTGCCCATTCAGAAGCATCCGTTGATAATCGGTGAGGTGCTTTTGATTTTGACATACCTTTATTGATCTAGAAATAGTATAGATATTATACAATGATCATGTAATGATAGCCATTAATACACGAGCATGTTGTAGGATACAAAACGAGCCGCAGGCAAGTTTTGTATATAACATGCGAGAAAATTCAATTTATCCAATAATCATTAACGGTGCAAAGAAAATTGAAAATATAAACTGAAAAAATCTTACCCTTCTTAAAATATCTGCATGGTCCAATCCTAAAACGTCTTGCGGCATTGGCGGTATGTCACCCAAATCATTTTCTAATGTGCCATCTTGCTTTCCAGACTCCAGAACATTCAATTTGTTCTTAGTGTCCAAGTCTAAAGATGTCAATATTTCAAATTCAGATTGATATTGTTCAATTAAATCAGGAGGCTCATAATCGTCCCCAAAATCTGCATGCTTCAGTTTTTCTTCTATTTCAAATATTTTGCAATAATTTTTGTCTGAAATTTCAATGTTTGATAATAATTATGAATTAAATCTATTCGAGTACTGACCCTTTACAAATACTATATTGGGCACCGAACCCATTACCCTCAAAGTTGAAAGTTCATTACGTAAATGTCCAGCACTTTTTTTTAATAGATCTTCAATTTCATCCTGTTTTCCGGACTCAGCAGCAATCCAGTATACTCTCAGAAATTTATAATCCGGAGTTACTTTAACCTTTAAATTTATTTTCATGAATAACGACAGTTGATAATTGATAGTATTTGAATATTTGGAAAACGTCTACTGGATCTTATACAACAATACTTATTAATGTTGAGGAACATGTCATTAGGCTGACACCAATCATAAACAATGTTAAGATCGTTTTGCAGAATAAGTATGTCCTGAGCTGGCGTCACCTGACGATACCAACTTCAAGTCATCAGCGAAGAGTGAAAAATTTGAGGAGAGTCACGATCCTAAATCACTGTCCATTGATAAATAAGCTGAATAGAAGAAAGGTCCAGAAACAGCAAAACTTGAGAGCTTTGAAAGAAGGATGTTGTGGTTTACATTATCAAATGCTTTAAGTACGTATTGCCTAAGTTTCTGCATTGTTATCAATGATGAAAATATAAAATTTGTACAGAGAAACAGGTTCGTGTCAACAGATCTACTGGCTGTAAAACCGTGCTGTTGACTGATCATAATGGAATTAAATATTTTTAAAAGAATTTTTCACACCCTGCTCAAATAATTTAGGAATTGCAGCCAGGATGTTGATAGGTCTGTACTTTATTACATCACTCTTGTTGCCTAACTTGTGAATAGAACAAAGTCATTGGACAAACATATAATAAGACAGCTTCCATATTTCTGGAAAAATTACAGACGTTACGGATTTGTTGAAAATATTAAATAGAGGGAAGTGTTAGAAGATTTTAGTACTCTGTTATAGACCGTGAGATAGGGCCTGTTTAGTGGAGTCTTTTTTTTTTGTCTGGCATTTTGAGGGATGAATGTTGCTAGTTAGCTGATGAGAATATAGGTGGTTTTAGTGCCTGCCACCTGTTCGAAATGTCCACAGAATGTTTCGCCGGAAAACTCGACTTCGAACTGGGATTACCGTCTGGCGGTTTTTCAGCGATATTTTCACAACAAAACCTTCCATTCTCTCGATTACCAGACAAAAAGTAAACGCGGAAGGTTCTTTTCTTTTCTCTTGGAAGTTGACACTCATCCCCACTTTTTCAGCTATTGAAAAGTATCTGGTAGCCAAAAAATTTGAGATCATTAAAAAAAAAATCCTCATGTAAATCAATTTTTTTCTTCTGCAAATTCTCGAACGGGAGGCAGGCATTAAAATCACCCATATTCTCATTAGCTTAGTAGACACATTCAGCCCTCAAAGTGCAAGACAAAAAAAAATGACTCCACTAAACAGCCCCTATCTCACAGTCTATTAGCTGCTAGGAATATCATCAGTTCTGCACCTAGTTGATGTTCACTTGCGTCAAACTCATCTCAATATGGGTTGGATCTATGACAATGCTCCTATAAATGTCAAATTTGAACCATGTGGCAAAAACCACAAATAAAAAAGTTACCTATTGGTAAAAATGTAACCAATGACCCTGTATCCTACCATGGGAGTTTTTGGGAATGCTCGATTCAATGGGGATATTTGCAATGTTGCCAAGTTTACCGATTCTAAGATGCCGTATGTAATATGTAATTGATTTAAAAAAATAAATAAAAGTCCCACTTCATTTTTATTTTAATAAATATAATTGATATATGTATTAGTATATCAGTTGAAGGGCGTGTTTTACTTGAATCGCTCCTCAATATTCCGTTTTTAAGCGTGTTCATAGTCTAGGAAAATTGTCGATTTTCAAAAAAAAAAAATCCTACCCAAAAGAACTTTTCAGGGATGATAGGGGGAGGGTGGGTGATCATAAAACCGAAAATATCAAACATTCACCCCTCTGGCGTTTTGCGCTATAGGGGTTGAATGTGTGCCATTGGCGATTACTTGGTACCTATTGATTTTACGAAAAAATGTTTCAAATAAAAGATGTGCAACATTATTTGACCTACAATGTTTATCTAAAGACTTTTTTGATTAAGGGCCGTCTGTGGTCATAAGGGCCGTTTGAAATTTTATAATGAAAATGAAAAATTTTAATCAACGTGAAAAAAATTTCTACAACTCATACAACATTTTTGCTTTATGAGGTTTCTACTCACCCCCTGCCGTTTTTCAATAGGGGTAGTTTTAAATTTTTTTATTTTTTTACAAAAAAAAATTCTTAATAAAAGTTTTATAAGATGACATTCCCTGCAATTTTTCCTGATCAACTTTTTTTGTAACCTACCCCCATTCAGCGGGGGGACACTTCCCTCGGGGAAATTTTACTTTTTAGGGGTATATATATTTTTTTTTTTCTTATCTCGCCTTTAGTGCACATAAAAAATTGCAATTAACATTGTATTAAAAGGATTTTTTTTTCACCACCTTTTTGTTTTTAGGGGTAGTTCGCCTATTTTCAACTTTAAAAAAAAAATTATTAAGAAAACTTGTTTATTTTATTATTTTGAGCAACTTTTCTCTATGACTTTTTTTTACAAAGTTGAAAATAGGCGAACTACCCCTAAAAACAAAAAGGTGGAAAAAAAATCCTTTTAGTACAATGTTAATTGCACCTTTTTATATGCACTAAAGGCGAGAAATGAAAAAAATATATATATACAGGGTGTCCGGTAAGTATATGGCATACTCTCGGGAGTGTATAGGAGGGGTAACAAAATAACTCTACTTTGTTACAAAAAAAAAATTCCTAAAGTGCGTCTTAACGGAGATACAGAGCTCCGAAAGAGTACTTGGCGATCCACATTTTTGGCTCTAACTTTTGAACCGACTTGTATAATTTAATGAAGTTTTGATATTTTGTGTTGGCCATAAAGACTCATAAAATCATCCTACAGTAGATGTTTCACATAGTCTGGGAAGTCAGGAACGGACTTACCCCCATCTTTATTGTGCCAAATTTTTGACAGGAGTCATTTTACAGAGCTGAATACTGATTTTTTAAATACTTTGGTCATTTCTCTTTAAAATAGGTGCTCTACATTTGTTTTGAATAAATCAGCCGTTTTCGAAAATTAGGTTTTTGTATAACACCTTTAATCATTTACCTTCGAAATTTATTTAATAATCAAGTTGATCCTAAATTTTAAAAAAACAGGTAGAAGTTGACTTTTAAAATGTACCTGAAACCGAACCTTTTTACTTTTTATAATAACCCAAACTAACCCAACCAAAGTGCTTTTTACCTTATATACCTGTTAATTGAAGAGGTGCAAAAAAAATGTTAATTATGAAAGTTATTGGGATTTTTATGAGGAATTAGGAGCATTTATTTAAAAAAAAATGGAAAGGCGGGTTTAGAAAATATAGCAAGAAATTTAACATTTCTTGCTTAATTTAAATTGAATAACCCATTTTTGAATATGTTTTTGGATTCTTCATTAAATTTTAGCCCTGATATATGTTACATGTCCTATAATTAAATTTAGCAATTTTGGAGATATCGCTAATCAATGATATTTCAATATATACGCTAAATTTTGCTTTAATCCAGCCTCACCTGGTTCACCTTTCACTAAGGTAAATTAAATTAAAGGTGAATCAGGTGAAGCTGGATTTAAGCAAAATTTTACATATTTCATCTTATATTGGACACATTTTCAATATAATGATTATAAACAATAGCAAGACTAGAGGGGAACTTACCGTCCTTACCAGTTTCTAACGATGAAATATAATTTTTTTCGTAATTTATGTTGGAAAAATCATTGATTAGCGATATCTCCAAAATTGCTGAATTTAATTATAGGACTCGTTATAGGACATGTCACATATATCAGGGCTAAAATTTAATGAAGAATCCAAAAACATATTCAAAAATGGGTTATTCCCGAGGTTATTCCATTTAAATTAGGCATTTTTTTGTACCTCTTCAATTAACAGGTATACATAATATAAGGTAAAAAGCACTTTCGTTGGATAACCCTGTACGAATAGGCAAATTAACAAAAAAAAATAATTTTTTGTATAGAATGAAATAAATAGATTACAAAAATTGTAAAATAGAGCAATGAGGATAATTTCGGGAGAAAAAACAGATACACCCATAAAATTTATGTTAGATAAGTTGAATTGCAAGTTAAATTGGCTCTCTATAGATTTTTTTTTTAAATTTCAGGTGTTGGTGTTTATTTACAAAATAAAAAATAGGCTAGCGCCGAACTATTTGACTGATAGACACTACCCAAGTAGCACATAATATGGGGTAAACATCGTTTTTCAGTTGGGCCAATATTTATTCATTTTTGTTGCTAAATCAACACAGTACCAATTCTGTTTTTATAGATTAATTAACTTTTCAGTAATTTGAATATTGGCCCAAGACTTCTCACTACAATATTGATTTATGAAATATTGGCCAAATATTACATTTTATATTATCGAAACAATATTGTAATATAATATTAATTCAATATTGGCATTCAATTTTTTATTGATATTTATATTCACTTCAAAAACTTTGTACACCCAATATCCATTTTCAATTTTTTCACAATATTGATACTTTTTGAAAAGCCAAATGAAGGGCCAATATTTACATACTAATTTTTACCAAGGTTGGATTTTCTGAATTGAAAATGTTGGTCCAATATAGGGTATTCAATGTGCGCACTTTGTGTGCCGACCAAAAAATAGATGGAGACTCTGTCTTCACTTTACCTGTCTTAAACCTGGCTCCGTGATGAAGCCAAAAATTGGTTTTTTTCTCTCTGTGGGACCCTGGCGGGACTTAACCGTGCTGATGAGTTGTGATACAGCGAAACGAATCCACGGATGGTCCGGCAGAGAGAAAACATTTCTTGGTCGGTCCTTATAATTGGTCTGTTACCTTTATTAAATATAATATAAAGCCAAGATTTACATACGTCTTCGGGCCAATATTGGTAATTTCAATTGGCTCTATATTGCATAAAGTTCTTGATATGATATTGATTATTTCTTTTTGGGCCAACATTTGGTTACGTTATTGTACCAACGTTGGTATTTGTTTTTGGGTATATACTGACATACGTTCTTGGACAAATATTGCAGAATATCCACATCTTTTATTGGGCCAACATAGAGAATCTGACTTGGGCCAATAAATCGTAGTTATTGTCCCAATATTGGCCCAACATGGGAGTGCTGCTTGGGTAACAATATAATTCATGAATATCCAACACGAAATAAGGATTATTTTTATGTTCAAAGGAAAAATAAAGGTTGTTCAGAAACGGAAGTCTGTCATAAGGGGTTAAATGCCATTAACTCATTAATTCATTGGACAGCTGCATAAAGAACGCAGGTAGTCTGCAAATTTTCAAAAATAGATTGAAGAGTCACTTGCAGGGTGAATGACATAGTTGACTTTTTTTTTCTTCATATTTTTGTTTTTTAATTTTCTGTTAGCGATTTTAAGGTACTAGGGAGTATACGTACACTCCATTCATTGGTTTTTCTTTCCTTTGTGCGAAATTAGCAATAATTTAGTTGTGAGGAGATCTGTAAGAATTTGCATGTGTATTTTTTGTTGGTTTTTTGATGTACTAGCCATGTGCTAAATAAAGAATTATTATAGTTGATTCAGCGTCCCAACATTACTAAAACCCCTGAATGCCAAAATTGGCCAAAACTCCAGACCTATGACTTGATTTTTGAAATATAGCAACACAGTTTTTTTGTTGAAAGGTATGGAAACAGTATCATAGTCTTATATTCCAGAATAGGCTTTAGAAAAATGTGATAATGCATATTCAAGATTTATAGGAGTAGGTACTCAATGGGTAGATAGGAAATATTGTACATTTTACTAAAGCCTGTTCTGAAATATGAGAGGGATTCCATAGATTTCAACCAAAAAGCTGTGTTGTTATATTTTAAAAACCAAATTAGGTACTTGTAGGTTTGGCATTTAGGGGTTTTATTAATGTTGGGACCTAGGTTGGGACGCTGAATTGAAATAAAGATAAAGATGGACTTTCATTAAAAAAAATAAGTTACATAGGTATGGCAAAGTAGGTATATTTTTTTAGAAACAGTAAACTTGGCAATATTGCAAATACCACCATTGAATTGGGCATTCCCAAACACCCCCAGATTATTTGGTTCCTCGTGAAGCACAAGTCACAACACGGGACACCCTGTATATAATTTTTATCAAAGCCCTGAAGGAGAGAAAAACGATCCAAAACCTCCGTTTTATGAAAGAGAAAAAATAAAAAATTAACTTGACGATTTCCCAATTATTCAAACGCTTTAAACCTTCAAAATTACAAATTAATAAACCTAACTACAGAGTCTTAACAATTTCTCACCTTATTCACTTCAATTCCATATCCCAGAATCTGCTCTGAATAATCCCCAGTGGCCATAATGTCTGTAACATGTCTCATGAATAATTTGTTGAGTATGTTACTCCGTCTGGGATTGCCAGTTACTTTTGATACAAAAGACTTTCCTAAAGTCGTAGACGTCGAAGGCAAAATTGGGGTATCGTCTACATAGAACTTCTTCTTTTTAGTGGCCCCCATAATTTTTCTAAGAACTTTGCCAGCATTTGCATCGCAGATAGATGATGTATGCAAACTGTATCCGATTTTTAAGATTGTTGAGTGGTTTTTTAACATGTTTTTAAAGCAATTATGCAATTAACTATAAATATAAAACAATTTAAACTATTTACGATTTTAACTAAGATTTTAATCCACTCGACCACTTGCGCTAAAAATAAAAACAAACAAAATACATAACCTCAGTTTTTTTGGAATAGTATGCTGTGGTGCCATCTCAAGTCAAACTGCAAAAACAACATGCTTTTTAGAATTTCCGATCTTTTCTAATAAAACCGTTAATGGTTTTTTTGAAAAAATTATTCGATTAGAAAGAAATAGAAACTGATCATTACTGAAATAAAAAAAGATAGCTATTTATGTACTACCCCGTTGACGATTTTAGCGGGATTTGTTCGATTTGACAATTATTTGACAGGGCGCCAGGGAGGGGTCAATAAACCTGTCATTTATTTATTTGGGTTGTGTTTTTCAATTTTGATGTTGATATTTGTGTGATTTTTGTCTTTAAAATAATGACTGAAAACGTAGTAAAAGGCTATTTAGACATTAAAATATCGTCGAAAAGCCGCAGAGGCTTTACGCCATGGAGGGTGAGTTGTATTTTAAATTTTTGATGTAAAAAATTCGGATTTTATGGATTTTCCCATGACTGGAGGATGCGACTTTTGACCCGGTTAAATTGAATGGAATTGAATGAGTAATGCCCATATTTTGTATTAGTCGAATGACCCCTTGTTGTCTCTGTATTGTTGATAAATGTATTTGGAATTTCGGTTTGGGGTTCTTATGGTATTTTATAAATAAAAAAAAATTGCTCATGGCAGTGTTGCCAATTTTCTGAAATATTTGAATTTGCTTTTCCGTTACCTATTTATTGAATTCCAATGAAAAGGAGGGTAGGCCTGAGTTGGCGCTCCATTTTGCTACTGGAGCAATGGGTCAGGTTAAACTTTTTTCCATGATCCCATCGAAACTCCAATATTTTTAGAATTATGTAGGACATGGACCTTGTAGGAGGATAATATTCATTTTTACTTGCATTGTATTGCTGTCATTGGTGTGATGTTTCCTTTACTTTAAGGCGGTTACACACGGACGTGGATGGCTTGATACATATACGTGCATACATCAACGTGCAAACAACAACGTGCATGGCGCCTTTGTACAGGCGCTCGCACAAAACTGTAGTCTTGCTATTCTTGATGTAGTATTCCGAGTGTGCATACAAAATTGCACATTCAAAAACGCTACGATATTTAGGCGGTTACACACGGACGTGGATGGCCTAATACATATACGTGCATACATCAACGTGCAAACAACAACGTGCATGGCGCCTTTGTACAGACGCTCGCACAGAACTGCAGTCTTGCTATTCTTGCTACAGTATTCCGAGTGTGCATACAAAATTTCACATTCAAAAACGCGACGGTATTTTGCATACACATTGATGTTTTTGTTTCAGCGTTCATGTATGTGCGTACATGTTTTCAGACATCCACGTCCGTGTGTAACCGCCCTTACAGATAATTTTCTAGGAGCGTGCGTAAAACCCCTAGTGCAAAAAAGTGATACTTTCATGACCTAAAATGCGTGCGGAAAAGTTGGATTTCACGTACACTGTCAAAAGACGAAAAGATGCCATTTCGTAGCTGAATTATTACAGAAAGTACTTTTCTGAAATATCTGAAATTTGTAAATAATATACAGGGTGTCCACTTAGTGCGATATTGGACGATGCACCCTATACCTAAGTTCAACTGTTTTGGAAATATTGACAGTTAAAAATTGACTTTTTGCAACTTTGAAAGGCTGTAAAACCTACGGCCTTGAAGCTGCTTTTTAGTGACATTTGACAGGCCCAAAAGATTATTTTTCTCAATTTTGATAAGAATGTCATATTCTCGTACCCAAAATGTTTAGTAGCATGTAGCATTTAGTTTTCAAAGCACTCATTGGTAATACCTTCAAAATTATCAAACCTTCTAAAATAGGACGCATTTTTTTTTCACCAGCGGATCCATCGATGAGCAGTTTATCTGTGTCTAATTCATAGAAAATCGCAATGACTGTCTCATAATGGTGGATATAATAATTCGTCCTTAATTTGACAAAGGGACGTATATGAGAAATAGGCGATTCTTCGTTTTCAGGGAATTTATGTCGCAAAACATCAAATTTATACGTCCTCTAATTGGCGCTTATGAACTGCCAGTAGTTTCTGAGTAATACATATTTTTCTTTAAGACATGTTTTGAAACAAGAAATATGCATCTTCCTAAAAGGCATATATCATATACGCTTGTAAAATTTAAGAAATTCAATATACGCCCATTAGTGAAATTAACGACAATATTCAGTGGCGTAGTGACGATGCTCTGGGCCTGTGTTCATAAATTTTACCGGGCCCCTACTTTTGCGAGATAAGAAAATTGAAAAATCAGAGAAATATATACAGGGTTGTCGTTATATGTGAAAACGGCCTAATAACAATGTTCCATATTTCCTACCTGGGGCTTTATGGGAATGCCCGATTCAGTGGTGGTGTTTGAAATGTTGCCAACTTAACCGTTTCTAAGATGTTGGATGTAACTTGCTTTTTTTAAATGAAATTCCTTCTTTATTTTTATCGTAATTAATTCAGCGTCCCAACATTACTAAAACTCCTAAATGCCAAACCTCCATTTGAATTGGTTTTTGAAAAATTCAACACAACTCTATTGTTGAAATGTATGGAAACGGTCACGTATTTCAGAACAGGCTTTAGAAAAATGTGATTGTATGCATTCAAGATTTATAGGGGGGCTGGTAGGCCCAAATGGGAAATATTGTACATTTTTCTGAAGTTTATTCTTTATTCTCAGATACGAGACCGTTACCATTTCAACAAAAAAGCTGAGTTGCCATATTTCAAAAACCAAGTCAAATGGAGGTTTGGCATTTAGGGGTTGTAGTAATGTTGGGACGCTAAATTAATAACAATAAAAATAAAGAGGGACTTTCATTTAAAAAAATTAAGTCACATACGGCATGTTAGAATTGGTAAACTTGGCAGCATTGCAAATACTACCATTGAATCAGACATTCCCAAAAACCCCCCCAGGTAGGAAGTATGGTACATTAATTGTTCTTAAGCGTGTTCAGAAATATTAGGCCGTTTCCATATATAACGACAACCCTGTATATATATATATTTTTTTTTTTTTAAATATACACCTAAAGTATGGAACATATTCAATATAAAATAAATGAAGGCGTTTTATATTTTTTGGTTGCGATTCATTCGCACCAATTTTTTTATACCTACAGGTTGTTCCAAGAACAGTAGCTGTACCGTTGGCGTTATCAACTTTATTTTTTTAATCGTACCCTCTGTATATCATGACATTTCCGGATTCTGCGGAAAATTCTAGACATTTTATGTACAATATCATGCCAGAAAGCCCCTAAGGGCCGGTTTCTCAACAAGTCACTCCCGGGTTAGGCATAACTCCAGGGTGAACATTGCAACTTCACACGCTAACCATGTAGTTAAAACCAACTTGGAGGTGACTCGCTATTGAGAACCCGGCCCTTAATGTTAAAGCTTAATTCACCTAATTAGAGGGCAGCACAACAAACTACAACGCAGGAATTGCAGGATCTTGAGTTGGCATACCTAGCAATCGTCGCATACTATGGAGTGGTTCGGCCGTACTATGAAATTTTGAAGATATACGATATGCGACAAGCGGTAAAATCGAAAAGTTTTCATAAAAGAATAAAAGAACTCATTATAAGTCTACATAAGAATGTATTGAATAAAGACTTTACTTACGTAGATCGTAGATATAAATATATTTTTAATTTTTATATAAATTAGCGTCAACAGAGTAAAATGAGTTTTTTTTTACGAAATAGGAAAAAAATAATATTGACATCTAGAACCGGGCCCCTTGAGGTACCGGGCCCGTGTTCCGTGGAACACTCGGAACACCGGTGACTACGCCCCTGCAATATATCCATATTATGGATGAGAAAAAAAAACGCGTCCATAATAAAATCCACCTGTCAGTTAGTTGGTAGCTAAGTGTTACCAACTGACATATCTTGCAATAAGAATAATCCCCAACAGCGACCACAAAAAATTTAGACAAAAATGATAAATAAAATCCAAAATCGAGAAAATAGTTTACTTAAAACCCGAGTTAAAACCTATTCTCGCACTCATTTGTTCGTCCACTCGCTCCGTCGCTCGTGGCCAAATTTCGAATTCGTGCGAGAACATGTGGCCTTCTGCAACTTGTATTTCAATACAATCGGTATCAGTATCAGTATAAACTGAAAAACGGTCGCGTTGACTGAGTTATGAATTTTAGGCCTATTGCGAGGGATTTTTGGATCTGCGGAAAGAAATCTGAGAGATTTCGGAGGGATTTCGGCGGAATTCGGGGATTTCGGAGTGATTTCGTGGATTTCGGGAACATTTCGAGGGATAATTCACTGAGGAAAAAATGTGACAAGGGTTGGAATTCTGTAACGAATAGAGATATTTTCGCTCTGTTGACGTCCCCTCTCGATTTCGAAAGAGAGATCTCTATCCGTTACAGAATTTCGCTTCCGATTTCGGATTTAAAGCGATTTCAAGGGAGTTCGGGTGATTTCGAAGGATTTCGGGTGATTTCGGAGGATATCGGGTGATTTCGCAAATATTTTAATTTGATTTTAGACTGTTACCTAGGACTGTTACTTATCTTATATAAGTATATTCGAATGTGTATTAGTAAACTGAAAAACGGTCGCGTCGACCGATTTATGAATTTTGGGCCTATTGCGAGGGATTTTTGGGTCTGCGGAAATTTTTCTGAGAGATTTCGGAGGGATTTCGGCGAATTTCTTAGTGATTTCGTGGATTTCGGAAGGATTTCGGAAAGATTTCGGGGATTTCGGACGAATTTAACCCCTCGATTAAGGGGATTGAATGCGCCTCGATGCCAAAATATTTTTTCCTGCCCGAAGCACCTAACGCAGTCTATCATTGTATTATTCCTCCCCTATTAATACTCCTTAATGGGAATGAGATGAATGAAACAAGGAATGCATTGCGTTCTTAGTTTCAACGTAACTTTTTAGCAGTTGAAGTTATATCAAATTTCTTTTTTGCATTCGATTTATAATATAGGGAAGAATGACGCTATCTTTTTAGAAATCCGGTAATAGAAACGAGTTTTCCAAAAATTACAAAAATGTAATTCAAACTGGAAAAAATCGAGAATATTAATCAATTTATGGTATCTTTTTTAATTAGCGCCAATCTTATGTGTATTAGCAATACAATAGCACAAACCAGAATCCCAAAAATTAACTAGTTTTTTTTGTAGGAATTTAATTAATTCTTCTTGTCATTTTGCCTGTCTTTGTTATACCCGCAGCAAGCCCTATGGCTCTTTCCTCCGCCTGTTTTGCGATAAATTTTAAATCGCTATTATGAAGGATCCAGCGCCAAGCGGCCCAACAGTAGCCCAATGCAATAATCGCGATGAACCTCGCATCTTTATTAGCATTAACTCGAGAATTAACTTGTTGGGTAGTCGTATAGTTCGACGTGCGTTACAATATATTTTTTCCGCAAACGTCAAAAAATTACGACTTTTTTAACCTCAATTCTTGATGTTGAAGTTTGACTTCACATACGTCATTTTTTTGGTTACTTTTTTGTCCGCGCGTTCCGTGAGCGTACAAAATAGCTATTTATACAATAAGTTACGAAATGAGCGTCTTTTAGGCACGCGACGTGAAAATTGTCCAACGAGGCAAAGCCGAGTTGGACAACACGTCGAGTGACTAAAAGACATCGTTTCGTAACGTATTGTATACAAGATTTTTTCTACTGGCATTTTATAATAAAAAAACACAATTTTATTTCATGTGAATAAGTCGATTACATCCAAAATCTTTGTTACCTGCTTTTACTTGACACCTGACACTTTTCATGCGATTTTCTTTTCAAAATTCGACATCAATAATTAAAATCCTAGAAAGTAGGTAATAACACACACTTCTGTTTTGAGTAACCCAAACGTTCAATTCAGTAATTCCATTTTCAATATTCATAATAAATACAAAACAAAATTCAAATATGTGTTTAGTGTGTTTTTTATTTCTGAATAATGAATGACACTTTTAGGCACTAGTGCTTAAAAATTACTTTTACGCACTCATAAGTCACTTTTACGCATTCAAAAGTCACTTTTACGCACTGAGTGCCTAAAAGTAACTTTCACGCACTCAGTGCCTAAAAGAATGTCGTTTCAAAACTGAAATGACAATCGAAAAGTTGCTATTATGAAACGTCAGTAGAAAAAAGTACTTTTTTCTACTGACGTTTCATAATAGCAACTTTTCGATTGTCATTTCAGTTTTGAAACGACATTCTTTTAGGCACTGAGTGCGTGAAAGTTACTTTTAGGCACTCAGTGCGTAAAAGTGACTTTTGAATGCGTAAAAGTGACTTAAGAGTGCGTAAAAGTAATTTTTAAGCACTAGTGCCTAAAAGTGTCATTCATTATTCAGAAATAAAAAACACACTAAACACATATTTGAATTTTGTTTTGTATTTAATATGAATATTGAAAATGGAATTACTGAATTGAACGTTTGGGTTACTCAAAACAGAACTTTGTGTTATTACCTACTTTCTAGGATTTTAATTATTGATGTCGAATTTTGAAAAGAAAATCGCATGAAAAGTGTCAGGTGTCAAGTAAAAGCAGGTAACAAAGATTTTGGGTGTAATCGACTTATTCACATGAAATAAAATTGTGTTTTTTTATTATAAAATGCCAGTAGAAAAAATCTTGTATACAATACGTTACGAAACGATGTCTTTTAGTCACTCGACGTGTTGTCCAACTCGGCTTTGCCTCGTTGGACAATTTTCACGTCGCGTGCCTAAAAGACGCTCATTTCGTAACTTATTGTATAAATAGCTATTTTCTCCAAACGTCAGAAAAACGTCACTTTGTTAACCCCTGTCAAGATGTCAGAAATTTGATTTCTATGCTGCTAGGCAAATCCAGCGGGTTAACACCTGTCAAGGTAGTAG